TAGACATCTACAAAACTCTCCACCCCAAATCAACAGAATATACATTCTACTCAGCACCATGTCACACTTATTCCAAAATTGACCACATAATTGGAAGTAAAGCACTCCTCAGCAAATGTACAAGAACAGAAATTATAACAAACTGTCTCTCAGACCACAGTGCAATCAAACTGGAACTCAGGACTAAGAAACTCAATCAAAACTGCTCAACTACATGGAAACTGAATAACCTGCTTCTGAATGACTACGGGGTACATAACGAAATGAAGGCAGAAATAAAGATGTTCTTTGAAACCAATGAGAACAAAGCTACAACATACCAGAATCTCTGGGACACATTTAAAGCAGTGTGTAGAGGGAAATTTATAGCACTAAATGCCCACAAGAGAAAGCTGGAAAGATCTAAAATTGACACTCTAACATCACAATTAAAAGAACTAGAGAAGAGCAAACACATTCAAAAGCTAGCAGAAGGCAAGAAATAACTAAGATCAGAGCAGAACTGAAGGAGATAGAGACACAAAAAACCCTCCAAAAAAGTCAATGAATCCAGGAGTTGGTTTTTTGAAAAGATCAACAAAATTGATAGACTGCTAGCAAGACTAATAAAGAAGAAAAGAGAGAAGAATCAAATAGACGCAATAAAAAATGATAAAGGGGATATCACCACCGACCCCACAGAAATACAAACTACCATCAGAGAATACGATAAACACCTCTACGCGAATAAACTAGAAAATCTAGAAGAAATGGATAATTTCCTGGACACTTACACTCTCCCAAGACTAAACCAGGAAGAAGCTGAATTCCTGAATAGACCAATAGCAGGCTCTGAAATTGAGGCAATAATTAATAGCCTACCAACCAGAAAAAGTCCAGGACCAGATGGATTCACAGCTGAATTCTACCAGAAGTACAAGGAGGAGCTGGTACCATTCCTTCTGAAACTATTCCAATCAATAGAAAAAGAGGGAGTCCTCCCTAATTCATTTTATGAGGCCAACATCATCCTGATACCAAAGCCTGGCAGAGACACAACAGAAAAAGAGAATTTTAGACCAATATCCCTGATGAACATCGATGCAAAAATCCTCCATAAAATACTGGCAAACCGGATCCAGCAGCACATCAAAAAGCTTATCCACCATGATCAAGTGGGCTTCGTCCCGGGATGCAAGGCTGGTTCAACATATGCAAATCAATAAACATAATCCAGCATATAAACAGAACCAAAGACAAAAACCACATGATTATCTCAATAGATGCAGAAAAGGCCTTTGACAAAATTCAACAGCCCTTCATGCTAAAAACGCTCAATAAATTCGGTATTGATGGAACGTATCTCAAAGTAATAAGAGCTATTTATGACAAACCCACAGCCAATATCATACTGAATGGGCAAAAACTGGAAGCATTCCCTTTGAAAACTGGCACAAGACAGGGTTGCCCTCTCTCACCACTCCTATTCAACATATTGTTGGAATTTCTGGCTAGGGCAATCAGGCAAGAGAAAGAAATCAAGGGTATTCAGTTAGGAAAAGAAGAAGTCAAATTGTCCCTCTTTGCAGGTGACATGATTGTATATTTAGAAAACCCCATTGTCTCAGCCCAAAATCTCCTTAAGCTGATAAGCAACTTCAGCAAAGTCTCAGGATACAAAATTAATGTGCAAAAATCACAATCATTCTTATACACCAGTAACAGACAAACAGAGAGCCAAATCATGAATGAACTTCCATTCACAATTGCTTCAAAGAGAATGAAATACCTAGGAATCTAACTTACAAGGGATGTAAAGGACCTCTTCAAGGAGAACTACAAACCACTGCTCAGTGAAATAAAAGAGGACACAAACAAATGGAAGAACATACCATGCTCATGGATAGGAAGAATCAATATCGTGAAAATGGCCATACTGCCCAAGGTAATTTATAGATTCAGTGCCATCCCCATCAAGCTACCAATGACTTTCTTCACAGAATTGGAAAACACTGCTTTAAAGTTCATATGGAACCAAAAAAGAGCCCGCATTTCCAAGACAATCCTAAGTCAAAAGAACAAAGCTGGAGGCATCACGCTACCTGACTTCAAACTATACTACAAGGCTACAGTAACCAAAACAGCATGGTACTGGTACCAAAACAGAGCTATAGACCAATGGAAGAGAACAGAGTCCTCAGAAATAATACCACACATCTACAGCCATCTGATTTTTGATAAACCTGAGAAAAACAAGAAATGGGGAAAGGATTCCTTATTTAATAAATGGTGCTGGGAAAATTGGCTAGCCATAAGTAGAAAGCTGAAACTGGATCCTTTCCTTACTCCTTATACGAAAATTAATTCAAGATGGATTAGAGACTTAAACGTTAGACCTAATACCATAAAAACCCTAGAAGAAAACCTAGGTAATACCATTCAGGACATAGGCATGGGCAAGGACTTCATGTCTAAAACACCAAAAGCAATGGCAACAAAAGCCAAAATTGACAAATGGGATATAATTAAACTAAAGAGCTTCTGCACAGCAAAAGAAACTACCATCAGAGTGAACAGGCAACCTACAGAATGGGAGAACATATTTGCAATCTACTCATCTGACAAAGGGCTAATATCCAGAACCTACAAAGAAATCAAACAAATTTACAAGAAAAAACCAACCCCATCAAAAAGTGGGCAAAGGATATGAACAGACATTTCTCAAAAGAAGACATTCACACAGCCAACAGACACATGAAAAAATGCTCATCATCACTGGCCATCAGAGAAATGCAAATCAAAACCACAATGAGATACCATCTCACACCAGTTAGAATGGCGATCATTAAAAAGTCAGGAAACAACAGGTGCTGGAGAGGATGTGGAGAAATAGGAACACTTTTACACTGTTGGTGGGATTGTAAACTAGTTCAACCATTATGGAAAACAGTATGGCGATTCCTTAAGGATCTAGAACTAGAAGTACCATATGACCCAGCCATCCCATTACTGGGCATATACCCAAAGGATTATAAATCATTCTGCTATAAAGACACATGCACACGTTTGTTTATTGCAGCACTATTCACAATAGCAAAGACTTGGAATCAACCCAAATGTCCATCAGTGTCAGACTGGATTAAGAAAATGTGGCACATATACACCATGGAATACTATGCAGCCATAAAAAAGGATGAGTTTGTGTCCTTTGTAGGGACATGGATGTAGCTGGAAACCATCATTCTCAGCAAACTGTCACAAGAACAGAAAACCAAACACCGCATGTTCTTACTCATAGGTGGGAACTGAACAATGAGATCACTTGGACTTGGGAAGGGGAATATCATACACTGGGGCCTATCATGGGGGGGATGGGGAGGGATTGCATTGGGAGTTATACCTGATGTAAATGATGAGTTGATGGGGGCTGACGAGTTGATGGATGCAGCACACCAGCATGGCACAAGTATACATATTTAACAAACCTGCACGTTATGCACATGTACCCTAGAACTTAAAGTATAATAATAATAATAAAATAAAATAAAATTTAAAAAAATAAAAATTTTTTTTAAAAAAGCCCTTCGGATCTGACTAACTTTGCTTTACTGTTTTATCTTAATACTAAACATTGTCTCCGTTCTTTATTTTTGTTAGAAATGACTTGATATTATATACAAATGTTATTTGAAGAAGGACCCTTGGATTTCCTCCTGTCTTTATAACACATTTATGACTTTTCGCTAAAAGTACTGTTTATGGTTTCACATACATTTCTTTATCATGTGGCTGAAAAGAGACATTTAGTTTTTAAAGTATGTGTTTGGATATGTAATCAGTATAATAGGAAAAAATAGCTTAAGAATTCCCTGAATGGTAGGTTTTGGAAAACTAACTTGTGGAAATCTTAAAAGGAAATCCCAAAATATATCCTCTGACAGAGTTTGGTAAGCTTTTTCTGTTAAAGGACCAGATAGTAATATTTTAGGCTTTAAGGGGCTGCATATGTTTCAGTCACATAATCTTTGATTTTTAAATAACTCTTTAAAAAATATAAAAATCCATTCTTAGCTCAAGGACAGGATTAAAAACAAGCCCCTGGAGTATGCTCTCTAGACAAAAAAAGTTAGTCTGCCGTATTCACAAAGATTTTTACCTCTTAATTCATGACAATAAGTGTTCGACTTGCCATTTCCTCTTTGAGTCTTGAAATTGACAGGTCAAGTACTGGGTGTGATGCTACATCTTGAGAAATTACCTTCATCCAGGTTGCTGAATGCAGCAGTTTGAAGGACTACAAAATAGAACATCAAAAAGGGATTTATAAATGTAAACCCATTTAATAGGTGTGCAGTCACGACACTGTGGAAACAGAAATGCATAAACTCAGTTGACTGGCCAAAGTGGCTTCAAATGTGGAAGGTTGCTTATACTTTGCTAAGGTAGCCCAGCTTCGATTGACCAGTGAGTAGCTGGCTATGGGAGGGCTGACACAGCTGGGAGGATGAAAAGGCCATTCCAGGGTGACTGGGTAGAAAGTGTTTTAACTGTTTGTCCTGACAGTATCTTTATTACTTGCAAGTATAACAATGCATGGTTACAAGCAAACTTTCATGTATGATTTTCTTAGGGTATCTCAAGAAACATAATGGTCAGATTGGACAAAAAGATTCTCCATCTTGAGAAGGACAGTCTAAATAATGAAATAGTAATGAGGGATAAATCCTAGTCAACTGTGGCCAACCAGATTATATCCCTCAACCTTTAAACTCCAGTGCCATTCCCCACCCCGGGAAGGATCTTCCAAGCCTTTTTGAGTAAAACATTATTTTGTCCACCCCTTTGAGGCATCACTTGGTTTTAGAGACATGGAATATTGCATTTTTTTTACTGACATTTAGAATAATTAAAAATTGGTAGATTAAGATTTTTCAAATACATATGACAAATTGCTTTATTGAATGATTAAGCACAAATGTAAGCATTGAGAAATGTATGTTAATGTTTTCTTTTGGTTTCAGGTTCTGGGCATCCAAGTGAAATGCTTCCATGAAATTATCACTATAGGTTATAGAGTCTATCACTCCTATGATCTACCATGGTTTAGAACACTGAGTTGGTAAGTAAGCTTGAAACTATTTCAGATATGAAAAGTTAATTTCTGAAGTTTGTAAAGGAAGCATCTTGATCAGTCAGTATCCACTCAATTTACCCTATAGATTGATTTTAGAGAAAGATAAATAAAAATAATATAGTTGAATTTTGAAAAGAAGATCACCTTTGTCTTTCCCACTCCGATACAACTTCTTTCAGATCTCATATTTTAGTCTTTGTAGAGATATCTAATATGTGTTGAATATATACACCATTCTTGTCCTTTTTTTAAAATAAAAAACTAAACATTGTGTTGGAAACATTTTTGTATCCTTTACAATAATAATTTTAGCAAAATATTTGCATATAACCTTTTCCTTCATTTTCCTTCATTTCCTCTCAGTTGACGTGATAATATACAACATATTGTGTACACACAAATGCATGTAAAGTTAGTGACAAATCACCAAATGATATTAACATTTAAAATTTTACATCTTTTAAAACTTTTCATGTATAAATCATTGCTATCAGAACCTTGGCTAGGAAACATGATAACGTTATAGTTCATATTTAACCCAAGTGGCCATCCTTTTTAATATATTTGATTAATATCAACCAGGGAGTCAGTGTCTCATTATAGCAGATGGGGTTTAGGATGGTCAAAAAGAAGTGTCTTGATTTTGGTGAGAGCTGATTTTTCCTTGTAGCAGGTTTCTTCATGAGTGGCAAAGTATATAGGAAATGTTAGATAGGTAAAGAAATTGGAGAATAAATAAATGTAAAATCATGCAGTATTGATTCTAAGTATTAAAAAAAAGAGAAGATAAATAAGGATGGGCTCCGGTGATTGTAGAAGGTGTCAAACAAGAGGTAAAAGATAAACTGGTATTTGAAATGAAGACAAGTTTTGGATAAAGAAGAGTTTTCTGGTTGGGGATGTAGCACCCATCAGTTTCTAGATGTGGGACAGACGTATTTATACTACCGCTGATGAGATATTCCTGGCCCTTCTGAGCAGAGGGTATTGTTTAGCGGATAGTGGGTAAATAGTTGGATTGGTAGACCAGGTTAGGCCTTGATTGCCTTACAGAGGAAGAATCCCGGCTCATTTGGAGTCCACTAGGAGCATTAGAAGAGGGGAGATGCCAGTGCGTGCAGGGCAGTGGGGAGACAGGTTGAATTACCTCTTCTTTCTTTCCTTCTTAATCTTCCTGAGGACAGGTGGGGATTTGTCTTAGGACTTCTACTATTAAAAAGCATTAGAGCTGTGAGTAGTTAGGAGTTAATTTTCATTATGAACTTAATACCTCAATATATACACCCACACATTATACATATATGCAAAGTATTAAAATCATACACACACATACACACATTATACTACACACAAAGTATTAAATTTATACACACACACGCACTGCTCCCACCTCCCAAGGGTGAAGGATTGTGTGTATGTAGTATTTTCTACATTGTTTCCTAATTATCTCTGGCATTAGATTTTCAGCTAAATAAAGGTATGATTTATATTCGGTAAATTTTTGCTAATCGATAAATTTGAAATTAAGTTTAAAACAGGAAAATAGCATTTTAGTGAAATATATCTTGAATTGGTCTTCTGAACTTGGTTTTGATCTTTGTGTCATCAGAATGTAGAAAATAATTTTGTTGAGTTTGAGGGGAAGGAAAGCTTCAAATATAGAAAAGCTAATTGTTTTTAAATTATAGGCACTTTCTATTGTGTGTAAACTACTTTTTCTATGGAGAGACTGTAGCTGATTATTTTGCTACATTTGTTCAAAGAGAAGAACAACTTCAGTTCCTCATTCGCTACCACAGATTTATATCATTTGCCCTCTATCTGGCAGGTAAGTTAAGGAATATTCTGTATTGATATGTAGCTAACACATTTTCCATGTTTATTTTTATTTCTGTTATTTAAATTCGTAATTTTTTGGTTACATTTTATTCTAGCCTCTCTTTTTCATTGTTTCTCATGTATAAAGCTATTTCTTTCATCATGTTCTTAAATAGCAATTACTCCCTTATAGTGGGTTTAAAAAGTGCTTATTAAGAATCACTCCAGGCCGGACTCTGTGGTTCACACCTGTAATGCCAGTACTTTGGAAGGCTGAGGTGGGCGAAACACCCGAGGTCGGGAATTTGAGACCATCCTGACCAATATGAAGAATCATGACGCTGCACTCCAGCCTGGGCGACAGTGCGAGACTCCATCTGAAAATAATAATAATAAAAAAAGAACAATTGTGGTTAATTAAAACATAAATCATTTATATCATTAATATATGCATATTAGTTTTCAAACTGAATTTCAAAATAATTATGATGTAAACAGCAACCCTGCACCATACCACTTTGAGATTTTTTCCTTTTTTCTAAGTAATAGGCCTATTTCTTAGTTTAGGCATTATCTATTGACTTCCTGTTATAACCTACCTCACTTCTTCATACTCAGTTTTTTTATAGTCACAGTTTGCATTAAGTAGGTACTTAAAATATCACTTCCTATAGAACCAAATAGTATCTATGATTACATTTCCTTCTTTTACTACTTTTTGTTTTTCCTGAACTGAGTAACTGCCTCACCTTCTCTTTCCCATATTTGCTGATTTCAGTGTAGAGATCTTTAATTTTTCCTTCAGGTTTGCCCCATGTCTGTTGGTAGTATTTTCAGATGTTTACACAAGTCAGATAGTATATCAATTGCCTTTTTTCCTGGAGACTTCTATGCCAGAGACCTCTGCATTCCAGTTCCTGTGTGAGCTGGCTGCATTTGGGCCCACTGCTGAGCTGTGCTCATGATTTGAGCCCATTTCTTCCATCCCAGGTCTTCCATCTCTTGGTTAACACCCTCACTTTGCTGAAGCATGGCCTGCTGTAGTTTCTTATGAAATGATGTGTAGAAGGTAGATGTCTTATGTTTGTGCATTTCTAAAGATACCTTTGGTCTGTTCTCACAGCTGATTGCTTTGGCTAGGGCTCACACTTATTGTTAGACTTTTACTTAATAATCCAAGTCAGAAGCCTAGGCCTCAGTCTTGCCTTCCACCAGGCCTTTTCTGCTTAGTGTCTCTAGAAAATATGTTTAGGCACTTGTAATTTCTTAGGTCTACTAACAGTTTTCTATCTGTTTTCTAGCTTCCAAATTTTGTAGACATGTGTCTTCTTTTCTCCTTGACATTTCTTCAGTTTTCTCTGTTCTCGTGGGGCTTCCCCTTAATTTCTTTTAATGTTATTTTGCAGGGACACCAGGATGGAATACAAACTGTCATTTAAAAACAAAAAGCCTTAACTAGTTTTGTTTTTCCCTTGGCTTAGAACAATTTGTTATTTTTGCTCACAGTCCTGCGGCTTGGCAGGCTTAACTGAGCGGTTCTAACCCCAGGCCTCTCACGTGGTTGCCGTGAGACAGAGGCCGGTGCTCATGTCTTAAGTGTGCTGGACATCAAAGATGGCTCCTTTTCATGACTGCAGTTCGTGCCGCTTGCTGACTTGGGCACTGACCTGTGGCCCCTCCATGTGGCTGGGATGGGACAGGCACCCTGGGTTCTGAATGGGGAGCATGCCAGGAGCCAGGTGTTTCAAGAGGCCTAAACTAGTGTTTTTTTGTTTTGTTTTGTTTTTGTTTTTTAATGAAAATATATGCCCATGATAAAAATTGAGACTAGAAAGGAGTATTTGATGAAACTTCTCTCCACCTCAGGGCCTTACTTACAAATATCTGGAGGCTTACTACTGTTATTCCAGAAATTGTCTGAGTATTCCAGCTTTTATGTGTACATCCCCCTTCCCTTTTTCTTATACAAGTAAGAGTATCTCTTCTGTACCATTTTTCACTTCATACATTAATAGCTTATAGATGGATTTATATTGGCACATCTACACCTATCATTGTATCCATATCTGCAGTTACATCTATATTGATATACAGCAATAGCTGAGAGGTAGAATGTCGGCATATAAGGTGATTACTGTTTTCCCCTTTGGTTTGCTATAATTTATGCTTGAGAATAACATCTCAATTGAGTGTGGACCAATAGTGTAATTCATTTTCTTTGTTGTTTCTTTATATATTTTGTCTTTGATTATCGCCTCCCAGCCAGCCCCTTTTTAGTAATTCTTTGTTTCATGTATGACTTTTGGACTCTACTTCTATAAAAATACAATCTGTGTTTCATCTTTTTTTTTTTTTTTTTTTTTTTGAAACAGAGTCTCACTCTGTTGCCCAGGCTGGAGTGCAGTGGCACTATCTCGGCTCATGGCAACCTCCGCCTCCTGGGTTCAGATGATTCTCCTGCCTCAGCCTCCCAAGTAACTAGGACTACAGGCATGTGTTACTGCACCTGGCTAATTTTTGTGTTTTTAGTAGAGATGGAGTTTCACTATGTTGCTCAGGTTGGTGTCTAACTCCTGGGCTCAAGTGATCCCCCTGCCTTGGTCTCCCAAAGTGCTGGGGTTATGGTCATGAGCCACCATGTCTGGCCTGGTATTTCTTCATTTTTCTAACAGTATACTTATTTCTACCATAGACGTATTTTACCATTTCTTATTTTACACTCAGAATCACAGAAACTTACTGAAAGTCTTTAAAGTCATTCTTTGAGCAAACATTTGAGTGTTTTTCAAATGCTAGGTACTGTGAATGATGTTGAGGATATAAAGGGAAATGAAATGATTGTGTGCCTTCCAGGGTCTTGAAGCTGGTGAGATGTGAGTCTTCTAGTTCATTGCTGAAATGTGAACAATTTCTGGCAGGAGCATGAAGGAGAGGAAGGAAGGCCATGGAGGGCCTTTGAGAAGAGATGACAGGTTTCATGAAAAGGAAAGAGCAAGCAGGCAGTTGCCAGGTATCAGATAGTAGAAAAGTCCATTCCAGGCAGAGGAACAGCTGTGCAGGCATGAGAATGAGAAAGGATTGCATGTTTTGGGTTCATGGAGGCATGGAAGGTAGGCAGGAGCCACATCTTGAGAAAATTTGTATGTCATAGGAAGGGTTTGGACTTTATATCTGGGAAAACATTGGAGGATTTTAAGCTAAGAAATGATGTAACCAGACTTGTAATTAAATGAAGTAGGTTGGGAGACATTATCAGGCAGACTAGATAGGAAGCTACTAAATGTAGTAAGGACCTAAACTCTTCCGGTGTGTAGTTAATACTAAATGAGTAATAAGTTAGAAAATAAAAATACCACAGGCTGATCGTAGAACCCAACTGCTATTTTATGACAGTCTATGAAAAGTTGTTTATATATCACAGGTTATTGGCTTAAAATGCACATCTTTGTTGAGATAATTGCATGTTCACATGCAGTTGTAAGAAATAATAGATCTTTTTACACTTTGCTCGGTTATCATCAATAATAGTATTTTGCAAAACTATAGTACATCACACCAGGATATTGACATCATTATAGTCACACAAATGTACTTTTTGTTTGTTATTTTGAGATAGGATGTCACTGTTTTCCCAGGCTGGTCTTGAATTCCTGGACTCAACTTACCCTTCGGCCTCAGATTCCTTGGTAGCTGGGATTACAGGCGTGTATTACCATGCCCCGCTCTATAGGTCTACTTTAAAAATGCAGCCTCATAGTAAGCTAGGAGCTACTCAGTTAAATGGTGTAACTTCCAGTATAAAACAGGCATAGAATACTTGAATACTATATGTCTATTATCATTTTAAGGGTGGCCTAAAAATGGCTCGGTTAGACCAAAAGCACCCATGGTGTACCTCTCTTGTTTGTTTAATTCCCAGAGCACAGTGCAGGACTGGCATTGAGGGTCCGACTCTGTATTTGTTGGATAAAGGATTAAAAGGCTGAGAACATGCACATCCACACACAGTGCTTCTTAATTATATTTTCTTAGTATCAGTGTTTTGTTTGCTGAGTCTTGAGGCCTTAGTGGCTACTTTTGAAGTGCTTAGCAACATTTGTGAGCTTAGTCCAGCAAATGGAGTTAAGCTTTGAAACAGGACTATGGAAACAGAGAGTGTGCTAACATTGAGATATTTGTACCTTTCTTTCAAATTATGCTGTGGATATCTTTGGAAGTCTTTTTCTTAAACAATATTCCAAGGGCCCTGTGAAAATTTTAGTTCTATTATAGTGGTCAAATGACTTCAGAAAATGTATGTCTTACCAGATTTATAAAGCAGAGACAGTTCAAACTACTTCATTGACATTGAATTTTATTTAAATAAAATATAGGTATCTCCAATTCTGACCCCTCATGTCATGCAATTACATGGTTAGCAGTGATATGTCGACAAACTTAAGGTGTTTGACCCGTAATATCATCACCTTACATTTCTTTATTCAACTATAGTGATGTGCATATTATGTTTAATAAATTATTTTTTGCTTGTATTGGTGCATGCATAGCTATTTTGATTTCTTTAAAATTCTTAGGGAGATAATATGACTTGAATGTAACGCTTTCAGTTCAAGAAAATTGATGGACATACAAAACTAAGTTATAGCCAAAATTAATGCATAATTAAGATATTTTCCCCAAACATCCTGAGTATCTTTTATATCAGAGGATATTAATGAAATCTTTAGAAAAATGTCACAAATAATTCACAAAAGACTGTCTCTCCAAAACTACTTAAAATTTCTGAATTAAAGACTACTAAACTCTATATACATGCTAGTACTGGTTCTAAACCTTAGACTAACCATTCAGATTAATAGAAAACTTTTTAAAATGTTTAACCAATATGATGATTGGTTTGTATGGTAATCTCTACAATGCATATTCGTTTAAAACTTTTTCAGAACAACTCAGTTGTAGCCTGGTGTCTGAATCAAGGCACACAATGCTTTTTTAATTTGATGCTAGAATAAAGGCACACAATGCTTATTTAATTTGATGCTAGAAAGTTTTGATGGTTTAGGCAAGTATAATGAAGAATATAACCAAGTGAAAGAATGGGGGATGAGTCGGAAGCTCTAGTATTCAATCTTGGGCCCATCCTACTGTCTGTTTTTTGAATTAAGGGCTATATGTTTACTAAATTTTGACTAATCATCAATGGTAAATTTAAAAAACAACTTTATTTTCATTTGTTTTCGGTGTCTTCAACAAGAGTAAGAGCTCCTGAATGGCAGTGCCTATCTTATTCATTTTTGCATCTTGTTTCTGGCATATCAAAGGTGCTTAATAAATATTTTTTATCTATTTTTCTGAAATTTCCTCTGTCTCATCTGTTGGGCTTTTCAGTATCTTGTGTTTTTTCCTTTACTTTTCCTGACCCCCTTAAAAATCTTCATCCTCTTTTTCTTTTTTACATGAATTTTTTAAGAGATGGTGACTTGCTCTGTGGTCCAGGCTGGATGGAGTATAGTAGCTTGATCATAGCTCACTGCAGTCTCAAACTCCTGGGCTCAAGTGATCCTCCAGCCTCAGCCTCCCAAGTAGCTGGGACTGTAGGTATGTGCCGTCCTGCCCAGCTAATTTTTACTTTTATTTCATAGAGACAGGATCCTGCTGTGTTGCACAGGCTGGTCTTGAACTCATGGCCTCAAGCCGTCCTCCTTCCTTGGCCTCCCAGGGTGTTGGGATTAAAGGCATAGGACACTACACCTGGATTCTCTTGTTTTTTTTTTTTTTTGAGACGGAGTCTCGCTGTGTCGCCCAGGCTGGAGTGCAGTGGCGCGATCTCGGCTCACTGCAAGCTCTGCCTCCTGGGTTCACGCCATTCTCCTGCCTCAGCCTCCCCAGTACGCGGGACTACAGGCACCCGCCACCACACCTGGCTAATTTTGTTTTGTATTTTTTAGTAGAGACGGGGTTTCACAGTGTTAGCCAGGATGGCCTCGATCTCCTGACCTCGTGATCCACCCGCCTCGGCCTCGCAAAGTGCTGGGATTACAGGCATGAGCCACCACGCCCAGCCTCTTGTTCTTTTGGGATATACCTCTCTTTAGTTTGTTGGGTAACTGGTTCTGCTTAATCGCTGGAGAACTCTTTGTTGCTGGGCAACGAGATATACGTATCTTTGTATTGAGAACACCAGGCACAATACTATGTAGATAAATAATAAGTATAACTTTTATATAAAGAACTATATATTAGGATGCCTTTTCAGTACTTTTATTTATAGTACTATAACACATTCTGTGGTTTTAATTTAGAAATATACAGGCCGGGCGCAGTGGCTCACACCTGTAATCCCAGCACTTTGGGAGGCCGAGGCAGGTGGATCACAAGGTCAGGAGATCGAGACCATCCTGGCTAACACAGTGAAACTCTGTCTCTACTAAAAATACAAAAAATTAGCCAGACTTGCTGGCAGGCACCTGTAGTCCCAGCTACTCAGGAGGCTGAGGCAGGAGAATGGCGTGAACCTGGGAGGCGGAGCTTGCTGTGAGCCTAGATCACGCCACTGCACTCCAGCCTGGGCGACAGAGTGAGACTCTGTCTCCAAAAAAAAAAAAAAAAAGAAAGAGAAATAGTCATGCAAGCATTCTTTGTTAACAATCGGGAAAAAAAATGAAACTATGGATCCAAGTGTACAAAAAGTGATCCTTTCCACAGATTTATTAAAATATAAATATATTTTTAAGTATTGAAACATAAAATGTTAATATGTCCATATAGTTGTGAATGAGAAAGATTAAGTTCATATGTTTCTTTTTTACAATGTTTTTCTTTAAAAATTAGTACAGTTGGCCCTCCTATATCCATGGGTTTTGCATCCCTGGAGTCAACCAACTGTGACTCCAACCAAATATTCTGGAAAAAAAAAAAGCAACACAATGGATAATTGTGTCTTTACTGAACATGTATAGACTTGTTTCTTGTCATCATTCCCTGAAAAATACAGTCTAACAACTATTTATATAGAATTTACATTGTATTAGGAATTATAAGTAATGTAGAAATGATTTAAGATGCACAGGAGGATGTAAGTAGGTTAGATGCAAATACTATAGCATTTGATAGAAGAGACTTGAGCATCCATGGATTTTTGTCCTTTGGGGATCCTGCAGCCAATCACCCAGGGATAATGAGAGATGACTATAGTTAGCCTTAGCTATGCTAGGAAAACACTGTATACCTCCCCCTTCCTCCAAGTCAGAGAACTGTATTACTTTACTGTATCTAGGAATCAGACAATTCTATCACATAGGCAAAACTGGATCAGGTAAACGTGAGTTGCCAAGGTTGTCCTGGATAAAATGTCCATTAGGAAAATGTTAAATGATTCTACCGGTAATTGTGTTTGAAGAAATGTAAGTAAGGGTGAATGGTGTTATAATTTCAAGAAAGAGAAAATCATATATTTTGGAGTAGTATTTGTGAATAGATAATTTATAGTTAATGATATTGGGAAGTTCCCAAGGCTGTGCTGGGAGAGTCAAGGGGTCTGTTTGGACAGAAAACACTGTTCCTGTCTTGTGTCTCTGCTTTGCCCTTACCCATTGGCCTTTGAACCGAGTCCAGTCCACGTTCACCTTTAACTATGGATCAGTGGCAGAAAACAGCATAGAAGTCATTACTTGAGCTTCAAGATAAGTTTATCTGCTGTAGAAGAACAACTCAAAAGCAGGAATTTTTAAAGGAATCTTTTATACAATTGGCAATTTTGATGCCATTAATTTCATGTTTTAGTATCTCTCTCTCTCATTCTTTCCCTCTTTCTCTCAATAAAGTGACATATTGGCTTTCATTTGTGCCTCCACTCAGAAAATGTGTCCATATTGCTTGTGCAAGCCAGTTAGTTGGATTACCTCATAGATGACAAATAGGAGGTGAGATAGGATTGGGCTCAGTATTCGTTCTCTTCATTTTGTCATGGTCCTTTCTGCTTTGACATTTCAAATTGATCATCGAAAGTCGTGAAAGGCAGCTGCTGTTGGATTCTTTGCTTGGTAAGAGTAGTACCCTTGTTTACTCTACTGGTAGAATTGCCTCGGTAAGTATAACTTGGATGTACAAAGTCTAGTATTTATTTTATGTAGAATTGATCAACTGAAAATTCAATTTCTCTCTTGGAGAACTCACTCTTTAAAGATACTGCAGAGGCTAGGTACAGTGGCTCACACTTGTAATCTTGATACTTTGGGAGGCCAAGGTGGGAGGATCACTTGAGGCCAGGAGTTCAAGGCTGCAGTGAGCTGTGATTGTGCCATTGCACTCCAGGCTGGGCCACAGAGCGATACCTTGACTCAAAAAAGAAAAAAAGAGATGTTGCAGAATAGAATGCATACATAGCCATTTATCTGAAATTAAATTTGGTTTATGTATTTTTCGATATCTACCTCTGTAAAATAAACCTATCTTTAGAAGTTTACTGGTATTTTTGGCAAGAAGTGATTCATATTGCCTCCCATTATTTTAGTGTGTGATTATTAGATTTCACTTAATTGGTTAGAATTTAATAAATTCTCATTGTAATAAATTTGTAAAATGTAAACATAAATACAAATACTGTTTGTAAATCTTTACATTATTAAGAGTATTACATTTTACTATAATTATTGTGTGCTTTTGAGAAATTGCAAATTGCTCTTAACCTGAATTTTGCTGATTTTGGTTTATGGAACCATGGGACTCTTAGGGGTCAATTGTATTTGAGTGTTTATTTTCTAGCCCTGTGATCTTCAGTAAATTAATAAAGCCTTTTTTGCATTTTTCCTCATCTGTAAAATGGAGCTAATAATGAGTATGTTATAGGGATTTGGAAAGGATTGATAATAAAGGATTAATTATCATTAATGATTAAATGCTTAGATAAGAGCCTAGAAATAGTAAGCATTCAACAGACTTCAGCTGCTATAATAGTTATTATTCATTTTTCTATTATGTAGAGATTGAAAACATTCTGTACATATACTTGATGTATTGTTATAGCAAATAAATACTATTTAATTTAAATTTAAGATCTGTTTTCCATGCCCACATATTAACAAGGGATTAATTAATTAAATTAATGCAGAGGATGTTTATTGAATTTGTGCCACGGAATATATATTAGGCACTTTGGAGAGTACAAGATTGTTTCCCTCAAAAAACTTACTTAAAATGCTTAATATAAGATAGTAGGAGAGATGGCATCTGAGTAAGTGGCTAAAATACGCATAGCTGTGATATAGGACATTGGTTTATTTGGGCTCAGGGAATCTTAACCCTTTGTACCAAATTGTACTACGAGCACGTGTTTTTTTGTTCTTGAACAGGTTTCTGCATGTTTGTACTCAGTTTGGTGAAGAAACATTATCGTCTGCAGTTTTATATGGTGTGTATTAACTATTATTCCTTAGTCATTATCTGTGATAAAAACCCTTAACTTTTTTTTTCTGTAGTGAGAAGATACAGTCTAATCTACTAGCTGTTGTTTTGCATGAATGTGAGGGATATTTGGATTTCAGATGATCATTAAATGTAAACTATTAAAGTTGAGAAGTTTGTGAGGATTTTAAAATTTTAACTGTTTTCAAAGTTTACTGAGAACTTTTTCTTTGAATATTTTCAAATGGTGTAAAATTAAAGTTTTTGGGTTCCTTAAATATGTAGAAATTTGAAGAATTTCTTACTCCTGGACAGTTACTAAGTCTGGGAAGCATCTGTCATATTGTTCTATGAAAGTAACTATGTTTACTTGCACTTGGCGTGAGCATAAAGCAGCAGAGCATGTATGATCTTGGTGGTCATGGTTAGTCATAGAATTGTGTAATTCTTTCTGGCATAAGATATTTTGTTCAATGTACCAAAGCCTGTCTTAAGAAATGTATCACTTTACATATGAACTTTTCTTATTTTCTTAAACTGTAGCTAGTAAGACTGTGCAATGCAATGTAGTATTAAGATCTGTAAATTCATGTAATAGTGAGGCTTATTTTGGACTTGGAATATTGTTTCTGTTCTTTATGCTTAGCTTTTCTCCATTAAGACATTCTGCTGAACATAATTGCTGGGAAATTGTGTTTCTTATAGTTCTTATTTCAGGGGATCTGAGCATGAAGAGTAAAATTCTGAGTGAATTTTATGTAGAAACAAGACACGTAAAAGTAATAGAATATCCAGTGAAAATATAAATGGCATCTGTTGGAAAAAAATTAATTATGCATTTTTAAACAATCAGGGTAAAAGAGAATTGGATCTTTTAAGCAGATAAAAATCGAATAAAATAAAGCAACCATTATCATATGGTTGCTTAAATGGGAAACAGGTTTATTAAGAATAAATCAAAAGGCCAAGCACCGATGGCTCATGCCTGTGATCCCAACACTTTGGGAGGCCAAGGCAGGCAGATGCCTTGAGCCCAGGAGTTTGAGACCAGTCTGGGCAACATAGCAAAACCCCATTTCTACAAAAAATAGGAAAATCAGACGGGCATGGTGGCACGCACCTGTAGTCCCAGCTACTGGGGAGGCTGAGGCAGAAGGATCACTTGAACCTGGGAGGTCAAGGCTGCAGTGAGCTGTGATCACACCACTGCACGCCAGCCTAGGTGACAGAGTGAGACCCTGTCTCAAGGGCAGGGGTCCGGGGAGAATAAATCAAACTCTTTAAGAATTTTTAAAAGTAATTTTATGAATTTCAATCAAAATTATAAGACTAGTACATGGAAACCTTGGCTTCTTTTGTTTATATTCTACCCATATTGTTGATTGTGTTAAAAGTGGCCATCTTTCAGGCTAGCTAGAATTGGTAAAACACAAAGGTCTTTAAAAATTTGGAATTGAATACTGTCATTGAACAGACCTGTCGCGATCACCCTTCAAGTATGAAAGATAGAGTTTAAGGGCAGTTGAACCCTGCTGGTTTGAATAATTTAAAGTTGGAAATAACTCTTTATGGGAAAAAGTTACCATAATAAACTCTGAAAGAAAAGGAATTTTTAGCATTTTTTAATAACCGCAGAATGCAGCCAGAGTAAAATGCTCCCCTTTAAATGCTAAAACAACAGAAATCTCTCATTATCACTTAAATCTAATGATTCAAGATAATGGTTTATGTTTTATAAGTTTTAAAATTTAGTACTATATCTATTATTAGAATTCTATTTGTATGTAAATTAAGGTTACTTTGTTAAATGTTTTCATTATTTTAAGGTTCCAGTAGGCAACAAAAGGAACATAATTTACTAACGGTGTTTATTTTATATGACTCTAACGTATGCATTTTGACCAAAAGTCATGGTAGAAATTTGCGTTTCAAAATCGCTGTTGCTGCTTCAGCTGCACTGATCAGTTATGTTCACTAATTTTTGTATTGTTGGGCTATTAACAGTTCGCATGGACTCATGTCACTTTATTGATAACTGTCACTCAGTCACACCTTGTCATCCAAAATCTGTTTGAAGGCATGATATGGTAAGGCAACAGAAATATGCTGCTTAATAAATATGTCTTAGCACTTTTATAGCTCTTTAACATTGGACAATGTCTTGCAGATTTCTACTAAAATATGCTGTTTGTTGTTCCTATTCCATTAAACTATCTTACTGAGTTTTGCTTACTATTTGACATCTAAAGACAAAATGCTTCATTAACAACTGGATACCATTCTTATTCAGGTTCCAAATATAGGAAGTTTCCATAAAAGACCCAAACAATTAATTACATTTTCAGGTGTTAATAAATCCTAATGTGACTTTTCACAAAAGATAGACTTTAAATACAATCTTTATTAAGATATTATTTACATAGAATGCCAAAAAATATAAAGCTTTGCCTGTTAGTAACTACTGGGAAGAAATGCATGTTTTTCTAGGTGAAAGGCAGGTAGGCTTTTTCCTTTGCTCCTGTGTAGGAGTGGGTTTCCAGATTGTAGAAGTTAATTGCTCTATGGCAGTGGCTTGCATATTCAGAATGCATTTTTGTTAGGTAAAAATCATAAAACTTATTACTTAAAAATTAGTTGGAATGGAGAAAAAGCCTAAGATTTAGAAAAAGGGACCATATTTTTCCTACACTCATTTTAAACTCATTAATTAAAATCTTTTACAGTTGATGGGGTTTGTCAAGATAAATTGTATTCCCTTGACAGCTTTATGCCTTTTTAGCAAGGGTGTGGGTGTGTCTGTATGTCTGTGTGTCTCTGTGTGTATGTGTGTGTGTAAGTAATTGGAATCATTTTAAGATTGTCTTTAATGTATTATGCAGACTTTTCATTGATGGGGCAGTTACTGAAGTAAGTAGGTTCTGCACATTCAGTAGGGTTGACTGAAATCATAAGCTAAGATATAATTAAAAATAATTGAGAATACGTATTAAGAACTCGATATAAATTTATCAGGTTATGCTCTGTCTAAAGAAATGACTCATTTTCGTATTAAAAGGCTGGTTTTCTTAAGATTAGCTTTCAGCCTGCCTTTTATTTTTTATTATAACATGTTCCTCATAAAGCTAAAATGAAAACATCCCTAACTGTAGAAATCAATAATTTAATATTTTCCTTAGCAGTATTTTCCTAGCGTGTTAGTTTATTTTTAGATTTTGCTCTGTTTAAATTGGTAAGTGGGCAAATTTGGTTGATATTTATCATTTCTACTGTTTTGGCAAGTGTTACGTTCTGGCTAGGCTGCAGTGCAATCCAAAGGGTTATTCTGATAGCTCATTATGAATCGTAATCTGTGCGAATATTTGCCACTTACTCACGTGAACTTTTTCCTGCTGACTTTTTTTTTTTTTAAAAACAGGTTCCTTGTTCCAATATCAAGTGTTATCTGCAATGACATAACTGCTTACCTTTTTGGATTTTTTTTTGGGAGAACTCCATTAATTAAGGTAATGGAAAAATTTTATAAGCAAGCCACTATATAACCTTAAAGATTAGCCACTGGAGGACATTTCCAACAACTTGTGCTGTTGTGCATCTTTTATTTCCGAGGTGCTTTGATTTTCCTTAGCTGCACGGTACAGAAGCAGCAAGCCATATTTCTCAGTACTTCCTTCTGGGTTCTTCATCGGTTCTTCTGTTGGCTCCTCAGTAAGGGCCTGACTCCATCAGTTGTCCTTCCTTCCTTCTTTCCTTCCTTCCCTCCTTCCCTCCTTTCTGTCTTTCTTTTCTTTCTTCATGTGGCTTCTTTTCTTTTCAGGAGATGGGGCCTTGCTTTGCCACCCAGGCTGGAGTACAGTGGTGTTATCATGGTTCACTGAACCTTCCACCTCCGAGGCTCTAGCAATCCCCCCACCTCAGCCTCCTGGGTAGCTGGGGCTTCAGGTTCATGCCACCACACCCAGCTAATTTTTGTATTTTTTGTAGAGATAGAGTCTTGCCATGTTGTTCGGGCTTGTCTCAAACTCCTGGGCTCAAGCTGTCTGCCCATTCCAGCCTCCCAAAGTACTGGGATGAAAGGCCTGAGCCTCCGCCCCTCGGCTCTGTGGCTTCTTTTTCTTGGCCATTGGTGCAGTTCTTCTTTATCTTCCTTTCCAGCAGGCCTATACACAAACCTTTTCCTTGACTCTCCTCTCCCTTCAACCTGTAGCCTCACCTGTCCCCTTCTTTGCCAAACTTTCTAAAAGAGATTATACAATACCACCTTCACATCCTCATATCCATTTGTGGGACTTTTTATATCCAAACTCATATCAAAAGATTTTGGGGCCCTACAATAAAATGCTAATAAAATACAAATAATAATGAAAGGGAAAGGAAAATACACCTGAGTAGGCCATGTTGTTTTGCTATGGAATTGGTTCTATTTATGGGCAATGGAGGTAAAGAAGGAAATGAACTAAATTATATAGTTCTCATTCGGGAGAAGAAATAAACTAATTCTTCATGGAAATCAAATCATTTTCTAGAACTGATTTCTTCTAAAAGAGCTCTTATTTATTTTTATTTTTTGTTTTTATTTGTTTTTGGAGACAGCGTCTCGCCCTGTCACCCAGGCTGGAGTACAGTGGTGCAATCTGGGTTCACTGCAACCTCCGCCTCCTGGCTTCAAGTGATTCTCCTGCCTCAGCCTCTCAAGTATCTGGGATTACTGGCGTCTGCCACTATGCCTAATTTTAGTATTTTTAGTAGAGACAGGGTTTCACCATGTTGGCGAGGCTGGTCTAGAACTCCTGACCTCGAGTGATCTGCCCACCTTGACCTCCCAAAGTGCTGGGATTACAGGCATGAGCCACCGCACCTGGCCTAAAAGAGCGTTTCATGTTGGAGTTTCAGATAAGATTCACACAATTCACATTATTGGTCAAAGTTTTTAATAATGTTCTGACAGACATATTATTACTTGGCTGTTTTGATATTATTATATGAAGGCAGTTTTGGAAGGACTGAGACAATTGTTCAGATATAAAGCCTTCTGTTGGTTCAGAGTGGTATGAGGGTAGTTTTGCATTACCAGAGGAATTTGTGGACTGCCTGTTCTTCCAAAAACCTCTGTAAACTCTACCCTTCTTGGGGAGGAGCTCACAGAGAGCATCTGCTAAGAGCATCAGCACACAGAGAGCGTTGGGCTGAGCTGTATAAGGATACTGGTAAGCAAGCTGTATATTTTTAAAACGTTTCTAAAGCTACTCCAGAGCACATGATTTATGTATTCAAGAGTTATACCCAGACTGAGAATTTTTCGGCTTGGGAAGCTGTATTAGTTCATTCTCACACTGCTATAAAGAAATGCCTGAGCTTTAAGTCGCTCATGGTTCTGCAGGCTGTACAGGAAGCATGGCTGGGGAGGCCTCAGGAAACTTACAATCTTGGTGGAAGGGGAAGCAGGCACATCTTACATGGTCAGAGCAGGAGAAAGAGGGAGAGTGAGGAGGTGCCACAAACTTTTCGACAACCAGATATCATGAGAACTCATGGGACAGCAGTAGGAGAATGATGCTTAACCATTAGAAACCGCTTCCCTGATCCAGTCACCTCCCACCAGGCCCCACCTCTGACACTGAGGATTACAAGTTGACATGACATTTGGGTGGAGACACAGATCCAAACCATATCAGAAGCCTTCAAAAAGGCTGTTATAGCTGTGGAAGAATCTTAGCAACTGATTTTGAACACAGCCTTCTAGTGAATTTATCAGGCTGGGTTAGTCGTATAATATACTTAGATAATTGAACAATTAACCCCTAAATCTATATGATAGGCATCAATTTAATTTGATAAGCTATCTTTACAGTAATCAGCACTTTTGAATTTGAGTCTGCTCCTCCTGCATGGCAGTGATAGTGAATTACCCTAGGAGAAGGTATGTCTGTCCCTTCTCTGTGGCAGAATTGTTATCAGATTTGTCAGGAAACGATTTCTGCCAACTGTTTTGCTTTGGGGCTCTATGAATATCAGGACAAGAAGTCTGTGAAGAGCTCCTATAGGTTAACCCATAACCCATTTTAATTTCCAGAGACTTCATTCTGATATTTGGTTTCTGTCCCTCATTAATGACCTGATAACCAAATCCCCCCACACATCTCTTTATCTCCCCTGGGCAACAACTTTCACCTTCTATTCCTGAATCTTTTCCTTCTGCCCCGACACCACTAACTTCTAGATTTTTTTCCGGATTTCTCTCCATGAATGGTCCATTGACTGGGCCGCAATAGCCTGAATCCAACACAAACAATATCTCTTCTTTGAAGTACATGTTCCTATCTTCTTGGAGATGGACATAGGTTGTGAAAAAAGAGAGAAGGATATGTGAATACTTGAGCAAATACAGTATCTGGGGTTCTGGAGTATTTTGCCATATCAGAAGGAAGTCTGTGTTTATATAGCATATTAGGAATATGTGAAAATTATATGTGCTAAAATGTCCATGTTTCGTTGTACTTATTCTATTTTTGGCCAATAGCGGGTCAATATTGACTGTGTGTACTTGGAACGAATATATCTCATTCTTATTCAAAGAACTTACACCAACTATTATCGGGTTTTATATTAGCATAAAAGTCATGGGACAGTTATTTTAGTATAGAGTTTATAGTCTTTTAAGAGACAAAACAAATTTAGGTCATTTAACATGAACAAACACATATTCACAGCGTCAAATATTTGAGGGTCTACTATGTGTTTAAATATTATTAGAGAGATTTTCAGTAGTAAATCAAGATCAGAGAAAAGGAAAAAGGGTTTTAAACTATTCTAATAAGAGAAAAAGTAAGAAGAGATGTACAGGTTATTGAGGAAACTCCTTGAACAGCGTTTGTATGTATATATAATGTGAGTTTTGTGAGTGCAGTAATGCTTTTTAATTTTATTTGCCCTTTTTTAGTTGTCTCCTAAAAAGACATGGGAAGGATTCATTGGTGGTTTCTTTTCCACAGTTGTGTTTGGATTCATTGTGAGTATTACTAAGATTTTTATTTTATATACATTTTGAAATATGATACCAGGCTTATGAGTCTACTTTAAACCTAGAAAAATTAAACCACAAAATGCTGATAATGTATTTATTGAAACCTACTAAAAAGAACCAGTACTGTACCTCAGTAGCCCTTATCCTGGCTACATATAGAATCACCTGAGAAGCTTAAACAAAATCTGTGTCTCAACCTTATCCCAGGCCAATTAACACCCCCAGGTAATTCTAATGGCCATCCATGCTGTTGTGCTGTTGTGTTTGGTAGTTTCTAACAGCTATTCTGCCTTAGGTGGGGCACAAGTACTGGGACAGGTGGTGGCCTTGAGTAATAGCAGAGTATGCAAATACTGTTGAAAAGCTCTGCCTTCTTAAACACATGGTGGCCACTTGGCTCAGTGGGTGGTTACTGTTGTGGGCCCAACATGCAAAAACAGTCTGTTAACTATAAATTATTAATGTTCGCTTTTAGCATGTTAAATAGCTATTGTTTATGCTTTACAAATTAGTTTACAGTTATAGGATTTAGATTTTTATTAAAAGGTGTCCAGTGAGAATGAGAGTGTAGTACCATAGCTGGATATAAGATAAATATACAAAAAAGTACTGTCAGGAAGCTTAATTTTTCCTTGTTTCTGACAGCTGTAGTTACATTCTGTATCCAAATCTAGAGTACCTAGTAACAACATGAAGCATGGAGAGAGTGAATATACAAATAAATGGAAGTGTGCCATGATCCTGGATAGGGGAACCACCAGAATTCCTCCATTTAATTTATAAATTTAGTTCATTTACAATGAAAATTTTAATAAAATGTGATAAAATTGTTCCAATGTTTTTGTGGTAGAATATTGATGAGATAATAATTGACAGATAGAAGAATGCAAAAGGATCCAATCTCATCCAATGTGTTTACATTACAAAGTGAGAATAATTAAACATTATGAAGTTAAATAGTGTAAGAATTTGTTATTATCAAAGACTATCTTGAAAATACCACAGGAATAGCCATATCATTGGAAGAAAAGTAGGAGCTACCCCATAAGCATGTAAAGCATGACAAAATAATGGGGAAGGAAATTTCACATCTATAAGAAATTATATATACATAATATATATAATATGTAATATAATATATATTTTATATATATAATAAACTGGTTGTTTGGAAGCAAAATCAGTTTATATTCATTCCTAGTGTCTTGAATTTCTATTAATCATTCTCGAGCAGAATAACAGGGTGAATGGCTGCAAGAAAAAGAGAATAAGCTGTTGTCTAGCAATTTAAATTTATAACAGGATATTTTATTTTATGTATCTTACTTCCAAGGCTGAGGACATCTAGTTTTAAAAATTGCAGTGGTGTGGCCAGGGAAAGAATAATTTGGTCAAAGTTTTCTGGGCTGGCTAAGAACAGCGGTGTTTTTCACCTGTACTATTGTGTACTATTTTCAATGTAATGTTGAATTACTGGTTAATTATTAACTGATTAAATTAATATAAACTTTTCTGCAGTATACTTCAGTTCTTTATTCTCCTGTACCATATAATTGTGATTATGCAGAGATTACAATCTTATTGATTTCAAAAAAACTTTTTTTCTAATGGTCTTTTAAGTCTTTTACTAGGATAATTATGATCATTTAACTTTGAAAATACATAGCAAAATATTAAGACAGAAATTCTGGCATTCTATCTCTGGCCCTTCTGATGTATACCTTAAAAGATATATATTTAGTCAGTGTGTCATGAACTTTTGCTTTGTTTTTTGTTTTGTTTTGTTTTGAACACCAGGCTGCCTATGTGTTATCCAAATACCAGTACTTTGTCTGCCCAGTGGAATACCGAAGTGATGTAAACTCCTTCGTGACGGAATGTGAGCCCTCAGAACTTTTCCAGCTTCAGACTTATTCCCTTCCACCCTTTCTAAAGGCAGTGTTGAGACAGGTAGAGTAAAAGTTCAAGATAAACATAGTTAGAGATCTTTCACTCTGAAGATTAAGCTTCTTTTATTATTTATTTATTTATTTAATTTGTTTCTTTTTTTGACACAGAATTTCCCTCTGTTGCCCAGGCTGGAGTATAGTGGCATAATCTCAGTTTACCGCAACCTTTGCCTACCAGGCTCAGGCGATTCTTATGCCTCAGCCTCCTGAGTAGCTGGGATTACAGGCACTCACCACCACACCTGGTTAACTTTTGTATTTTAAGTAGAGACGGGTGTCGCCATGTTGGCCAATCTGGTCTCAAACTCCTGGCCTCAAGTGATCCACCTGCTTAGCCTCCCAAGGTGCTGGGATTACAAGCGTGAGCCATTTGTGCCTGGCCTGAAGATTAAGCTTTCTTTAAAAGTGGGATTCAGATTTGTACAAGAAACTGACTTCTGTAGAATTTTTAATTCCTTGATATAGCAGTGGTTTTAGTGTGGTTTTAGTGTTAACTTAAATCAAATGGATGAGAACAACTTACAAATCAAATGGATCCAATGGTTTTGAATGTGTTTCTCATATCACTGACATCAATTGACTCAATTTAAAACTTAAAATTCACCAGTTTACCGAGTCCATGATTTTTAGAGGATATTTATTATGGATAGAAAGTTGCTGCTTCTACAAATCAGTTTTCCTTCCAAACACACAGTGCCTTCATTTAAAGGTATCTTGGAGGCCTTGCACTGGAGGATGTCGACATGCTCTCTAGTAGAACCCTCCTGATCTGTGTCATCAGGTCTGGTGAGTGGCTGGTTAAAGTGAAGAATCAAATAATAGCATGTGTGTCTGTATCTTTGTGTGCACACATGTACACGTTTATAAAGTAAAATCCATAATTTTTGAGAAGCAACTTAACAAATTATTTCTCTCTCTGAGTGCTCAGTACATGGTTTCCAAGAACTTTTTGAATGTCCAAGCCATCTGTTACTTGTTATAAAACTTTTTATACTGCTGGTGTTTGATTAGGAGCAAGGCTATTGCTTTGAGAACAGGTCAAAAAATTGATGTCTCCGCCGGGCACAGTGGCTTACACCTGCAATACCAGCACTTTGGGAGGCCAAGGCAGGTGGATCTCCTGAGATCAGGAGTTCCAGACCAGCCTGACCAAAAGGTGAAACCCCATCTCTACTAAACATAAAAAATTAGGCAGACGTGGTGGCATACACCTGTAATTCCAGCTACTTGGGAAGCTGAGGCAGGAGAATCACTTGAACCTGGGAGGTAGATGTTGCAGTGAGCTGAGATTGCACCATTGCACTCTAGCCTGGGCAATAAGAGCGAAACTCCACTTCAAAAAAAAAAAAAAAATTTGGTGTCTCAAAATCTTTCTTCAACCACACCCATTTTGCACTGTCTATAAGTTGTAGTTTCAGATTATTTAAAAAGGAGCAAGAACTACAAATTTGCAAGATAATTTGACTACAAAATTCTTTTTATGATTGTCTCCGCAAATCTTTAGTGATTGTCTCACTGATGCTCATTTTGATAATCTTCTTTAAGCAACTTATTTTTGTGTTTTTCCACAGCATTCGTCATAGTTTTAGAGAAAAGTCCAACTTTTCCCTTATTTTATCATATAAAATTAAAGTGAAATAAAATACAATGTTAAATTATATAATTACAGAAACAAAACATTACTCATTTAAAAAAATTTGGAAAATAACACAGCTGATTCTTGGTAAGAAGTAAAGTTCCTAGACAACCTGGAAGGTAGACTACCAAGCTGCAAGATTTCAGTGTGCCAGTTGCCTGTCCTTATGCTTACAGAGAGAAGGGAAAGTGCTGGCTAAGTAGAGGATGGTACAGAAGGCTTACAATAGACTTTTCTTCTATGATCCTTAAAGTTTGAAAAATTAACAAAAATGTGTTACATGCTTTGACTTACTATTTTTACAATGGTTCTTAGATCAGGTGGCATGTTCAAATACAATTTCAATGAAATTAGCCCCTCTCCTCCCCTTCTTTTCTCTCTTTAGGAAAGAGTGAGCTTGTACCCTTTCCAGATCCACAGCATTGCTCTGTCAACCTTTGCATCTTTAATTGGCCCGTTTGGAGGCTTCTTTGCCAGTGGATTCAAAAGAGCCTTCAAAATCAAGGTGTGTGTTTAGATTCTGTGTTATATTATTAGAGAATCTAATTAGATAATGTAACCTAGTTGAAATTTGGTTAGCTCATGATCTACATTAAGCCCTTAGGCAACAACTTTTGTATCCTGTTTGTTTCGACCTCACAGAAATGCTGCCACGCTGATCTGGATGTATTCTTTCTTGTTAGGTTTGTGATACTATGTTAATACATTTTAAGTGTCATGTCAGTTTCCTTTATAGAAATGGCATGTGTCCTTTAGTGTTGGAATAGACCTAGAATCTTGGTCTTTCAAGTGCTCACCCAAGAATCCAGCCATGAATCATCTGAAGTTTAGTGTTTTACTACAGTCTCACTTGAAGGGACACACAGAAGAACCTTTGGCTATGTAACCGTCCATTCTGCTAAGTCAGGTGTCATCACACTCTTTCTGTAAAGGGCAAACAATAAGTTTATTAGGATGTGCAGACCATATATTCTATCACAGCGTCTCAACCCTGAACCCTGCTGTTGCAGTCAGAAAGCCCCCCATGGACAATATGTCAATGAATGGGCATGGCTGCATTTAATGCAACTTTATTTATAAAAATAGGTCGTGGCCTGGATCTGATCTATGGGACATACTTTTCTGACCCCTGTTCCAGATACCTAAAATTATCCCTGTGTATTAGGTTAGATCATCATAAAGTGACATGTTATCTCAGCAATTTTATCTCAGCCTCCCTCACATGGCTGAAGCACCATCTGGGGTTAGAGAGTGGCTATGGAAAGTGGGGTGGTCAGGGAAAGCCTTTCTGAGGAGGTGAGATTTGAGAAAAGAAGTCCTGCAGAGAAAACTAAGAAGAGAGTTCCAGAGCGTACAGAGGAGTGGAGGAGGTTAGCCTGTTTGAAGGTGAGCAAGAACAGTGTGGCTGTGGTTGAGAGTAGGAGATGAGACTACAGAGTTTGGTGGGGCCAGATCACACGTGGCCTACAGGTCAGGGAATGAGTGAACTCAGCGAGCGTTTGCCAGTGGGAAGCTACTATGTAAGATGCAATGCCGTATACAAAAACATACAAGATGTTGTTCCTGTTCTAAAGATGTTCACCTCCTACTAGGGAAGATAATACACATCCCCAGAGAACTACAGCAACAGCTGTGCAGGATGAGTATCTTGCAAAGGCTGTAACAGCAAAGTGGCATTGGGTTACTGTGGCTCTCTTATGCTTTGACTAGTAAGGAAGAGAAGGAGGGAAATGGGTTGGCAAAAATTAACCAAAGACTTTTTCAGTAATTGGTTTAAAAAGAAAAATATTATATTAAGAATGGTATTTTCTTTAATGGTCTCCAATCCAAGGTTTTTTGTTAAATGGTGAGATTTTTTTTTGCATGTTGGAAACCAAGCAGCTATTGCTGTTGTAGTTTAAATATTTTTAGGGTGCCCGAGTGAACTAGAAGAGCAGTTAGTCGTGTCTGTTTCCCAGGCACCCAGATATGGGAACCTACCTGTACAGGGACAATTTGCAGAGGCTTACTACCCATTCCCTCAGGGTGGCCATTTAACGGACTAATGCGTCCCAGATGGGCTCACTGTAATTTTATTTTTTACTCTAACACTTAAAAAAAGAAGAGGAAATATTTATCATAGTAGTAAAATGTTTATTTCAGAGTAAGAACTATTGGGATAAACAAGTTAGAACCAGTTGTACATCTTTTAACAACACTAAAATAGCTCCCCAAACAGCTTATGGTTAAAAAGAAAGCTAGGCTATAACAAAATTAGATTAGTAATAGCTAATAGAATTTTTATTTAGAAGTTTTATTAACAAAAGTAAGTGCTAGATTTAATTAATGTTTAATGAATGAATGCTGTGGGTCAATTCAGAAATCATTCTAAAAGAAGCATGTATTTGGAAGTCGTGGTTTTAATCTGCTGGATGTGTTCTAATAAGTTTTTATTTAGGGAAAAAAATCCAATAGTAATGTATTTTCGTTAGAGTGAGTCCATGATGCCAAAGAAACACAGATAGGAATTTTGTAGCAGGTGATTTTTTGAAAATTTGCTAATATATTTGTTTGTTTCTAAAGGATTTTGCAAATACCATTCCTGGACATGGTGGGATAATGGACAGATTTGATTGTCAGTATTTGATGGCAACTTTTGTACATGTGTACATCACAAGTTTTATAAGGTACTTTTACATTTAACACATTTTTTAGATGATTTCTTTGAGTTCTCATTTCCATCAACATTAGTTTCAGTAAGTTAATAACTTTTTCCATCAGTGGTAATCTACAATATTAAAGCAAGTGGTGGCTACTGGAATTAGAGTCTTGAGCAGGATGGTTAACTTGTAATCATTTTACCTACACTTGAACAACTTAAAAAAAGATAGTATTTGTTATGGTCCTGGACCATGTTAAAGACCCAATTAATGTGGATGGTATAGGATTTGAAACTTGAGGAGATTTAATTTCTCAACTGTGGGCATTGCAATGATCATGAATACTAAAAATTACAAAGGAAGACAATGAAATGCATCCAGTCTACCAATTATTACTTGAGTGCCTGCCATGTTGTAGAATGTTCTAGGGACAAATATGGCAGAGGACAAAACAAACCAAATCTCTGCCCCCATAGCTTCTTGTTTGGAGGTTGAAAGAAGAATGATGAGAAAGAGACAATAAACAAATAAATATAGTTTGTTAGATGGTGTTAAGTGTCACACAGAAAAATAAAGCAGGCCGAGGGGATCATGCTTGTGTGTGTAGGGGCTGGCTGCTGGGTGAGTGGATGAATATTGCCATTTTATAAAGGGTGGTTTATTCTTGTTATTAAACCTTAATGTTTTGGATCTGCCTTGAAATACCAACTTGGGTGTGAAGGCTTAACATCGACTGCATGTTAACTTTATTTTCTGTGGTCTCTACTGGGGGCCCAGAAGGCGGAACACTTATTAATAATAGTGCCTGAGCCATAGAAAACATGGATTTCCTTCATAGTACTTGGAAGGAAATTCATATTTAGCGAACCCTAAATACACATTTTAAATATGTACCACAGTAGTGTGAGAATTTTCATATTAACTATTTTTGAGAGACAGTCTTGATAGGAGTTTATCAGTTTCATTAATCTTTTCAAAAATATCAACTCCTGGCTTTGTTAATTTTCTCTACTGTAAATTTTTTACTTCATTGATTTCTCCTCTCATCTCATTCCTTTGCCTTTTTAAAATGTTCAATTTGCTGTTCTTTTTTTAATTCTGGAGATGAACTTAGATTATTGATTTTTAGCCTTCTTGTCTAATTTATCCATTGAAGACTATTAAGTATTGCTTTATCCTCTTCCTACAAGTTGTGATATTTGTGTTTTCATTATTTAGTTACATATGTTTTCTGATTTCCAGTATTATATCTTCTTTAACACATGGGTTATTTAGAAGCATATTCATTAGTTTTCAAACAAATGGAGATTTTCTCACTTTCCTCCCTTAATTCCACTGTGGTCGGAAAACATACTCTGTGGTTTGAGTATTTTATAATTTTTGCAATCTACTTTGTGGTGCAGCGTGTTATCTATTTTCTGGTACATGCTCCATGTGCAAAGGTGTATTCTGTAGTTTTGGGTTGTAGTTTTGTCCGTGTCAGTTAGGTGAGGTTTAATTAAATCTTCGGTACTGATTTTTGTTTATTTGTTTTTCTGTTTGTTTGGTCTGCTTGTTGTATCACTTACTAACAGAGCTTTGTTAAAGTCACCTCATTGTGATTGTAAATGTATCTATTTTTATTTGTAGTTCTACAAATATTTGCTTTATATATTTTGTGGTTGCATTAGGTATATACAAATTTAGGATTATCATATCTCTCCGTTGAATTGATCCTTTTGTCATTATATAATGTCTGTCTTTACTGCTTGCCTTAAAGTCTATTTTGTTGAATATTAGAATAGCAATATCAGCTTTCTTTTGGTCAGTGTTTGCATGGTATTTCTTTGTCTCTCCTTTTATTTTTAACATTCCCTTTTCCTCATATTTAATGTGTGTTTCTTTTTTCTAGTAAGCATATAGATGATTTTTTTCCCTGTTTTATTTATAAGACAGTTGACAGTCTTTATCCTTTTAATGGGACTATTTAACTTATTTGCATATTATTTATTGATCTATTTGGGTATTGGTAATTAGTGGTTAAATCCTTAGAACTTAGTTTTCAGAATATGGCAGCTTTTTAGGGCATTAACTCATATGCTTTCTTTTTTTAAAAAAAAAAAATGCTGTTCTCTCAGTAGGGAGATGTCATGCTGAGCCATGTTGTCCACCATTTGAAAGCAGCTATTTAGACTGTTAGAAGACAGTGAGAGTGCCAGGATGCAACTCGCTGGGAGCACCTGCTGACACAATTTTGCATTTAGCTGAACTTGCTAAAGCAGCCTTCCTTTTCTCTGTGGGTCACTTCTCGGGGTTTATGCTGTGAAGTTGCTGACTCTTTTAAAGAAATGAAATAAGACGAACAGTGTCCTGATCTGAGTGTGAAAGGCATATGGCCGCAGTTTTTTGACAGATGAGTTGAGCCACATGCGTGAAGATGACCCATGGTGGGATGGCTCATCTGGGCTCTTGTGCAATTTGTTAAGTCGAAGATTTTCAGAGTAAATAGTTCCTCTGCTCATCCTCATTGTGGTAACACTAAATAGACATTTCTTTGTTGCTGGAATTTCTACTTCCTATAATTCTATGTGAACAATCTTTATTGTAAGTCATACATTTACCCACATAAATGTCTTTCTTAGAATTCTGTGCCATCCGTGTACATTACTTGTATGTTGCTTTTTCCCATTGGATTTTAAAGCAGATCTTTTATTTTGTTTGTTTTTTTTATTGGAGTTTACCTAGGACTGTCTTTGAACAAAGACTATGGCACCTATATCACTGGTAAGGGGCTTCAGTGCTAGGCTCAGAACTTTTGTGTTCTGACTCTTTGAACATTCATAGCTCCTTGGAGATATTTTTCAACAGAGTACCTTTCATCATCTGAAGTTTCTTTGAAGTTAAAAATTTCAATTATATTTTCATGCCCTCTTTTTGGTTTGTCCTGTGTTCACCAGGCTCCTTTCCTTAGAGAATAGTTTTTGTGTCTCATTCAATCTCAAGATTTGCCATTTATCCCCACCTTTAACTTTGGTTGGCCTTTCAAGAACTTTTGTAGAACTTAGATCTGCACACCTTCAGTTGCCTTATATTGCTTTTGTGTTTTGTGTTTGTGCATTCTTTCTCCCTCTCTGCTGTATGCTTCTCAAAGCAGAATAGTTCTGGCTGTTTATCCCCTTGACACTAACACTGCACATTAAAGTGAGCTGTTATCACTTTAATAACAGCTACTCTACACTGAAAGGAATGGTTTGTTTTAAATTGGGGGTATACGCTTCACTTATCCCTATTAAAATAACACAAACCTGTCTTCTTTGCCTTATAATTAGGGGCCCAAATCCCAGCAAAGTGCTACAGCAGTTGTTGGTGCTTCAACCAGAACAGCAGTTAAATATATATAAAACCCTGAAGACTCATCTCATTGAGAAAGGAATCCTGCAACCCGCCTTGAAGGTATAATTTGATCCAGAGAGGGAAGGACTGACAAGAAGGAATTCTTCAGAAAAACACTGACAGATGTTTTGTGAATTGTACAGAAAAATAGTTAAAAATGCAATAGATTGAAGTTTTGGAGATATGTTTCTCTCTGAAATTACTGTGAATATTTAACAAACACTTACTTGATCTATGTTATGAAATAAGTAGCAAATTGCCAGCAAAATGTCTTGTACCTTTTCTAAAGTGTATTTTCTGATGTGAACTTCCTTCCCCTTACTTGCTAGGTTTCATAATTTAAAGACTGGTATTTAAAAGAGTCAAACACTATAAAATGAGTAAGTTGAGGATGTTTTAAGATTGCACCTGGCACTGTGCCTTTTTGCACAAATATTTACTTCTGCACTTGGAGCTGCTCTTAATTTTAGCAAAATGTTTTATGCAAGGCACAATAGGAAGTCAGTTCTCCTGCACTTCCTCCTCATGTAGTCTGGAGTACTTTCTAAAGGGCTTAGTTGGATTAAAAAAAAAAAAAAAGTTTGTCTGCTTTTCAAAGAAGTAACCATTTGCCAGGGGAAAACATTCTGCTTTTAGGTAGTTTCAAAATTCAGGGGAGGGAGCCTGAAATTTTTGCCATGATTGGTTGGTTAGAGCAGGCATCAAACTACTTCTGATAAAATTGATTGGAAGATCACGACCTCGCAAAAACTTTTCAAGAGCAACAAGCAAGAATCCTGCTGTGTAGAACACAGTGTACAGATCCTCCGCAGATTATCTCAACAGAGGACAGTAGCTCAGGAGGCCACGCCAAACAGTGACCTGTGGCCTGGGCCATCTCTTGGTCATGTGTTTCACTTTTCCTTGTTGCCCTGTGAACTGGCTTCCATGGTTCTGTAGGGTAGTGAGTCGGGGTTGTGGCTGCAGCAGAGCAGAAGATGCTCGCCCGAGTGGGAGTGACCCACCCCCGTGTCCCTGCTGCCTCACTCCTGGCTTCTACTGCAGCCCTTTGTAGACTCACCTCGCAAGAAGGAAGATCTGCCTGGAGACCTGATCCCAGTCCAGCTTTTTGGTCGTAGGTCATCTTTGTCCCATTGCTCTTTTGCATCATGTCATAAAATTTGAGGATATCAGCTGATTATTTTTTCTTCCAAGAATGAAAATCAAGCAGAATTGATTCCTACAAGGAAAAAAAAGCACACGAATGCCAAACCTTTCCTTTGGTGGACTGGACACTAACCAGATGAGAGTAAATTTCTTATCCGTGGACGTATGTAAGCTACTGCTGCTGTGTGCTCTCCACAGCCATATTTATTGTATTAAACAATCAGCACTAAACCTTCAAAACTTGCCCAGTGCTCCTAGTTAAATGTTCAGAGGGGAGAAATAGATATATTTTAAATAATGTTTTGCTAATGAAAAGAGTAAATATTTTTGTTTAAATCAGCAAAAACTTTCCATTATTTTATATTTCCGTCTGACTACTATACCTAAAACAAAAGATTGCCGCTATACCCGGGTTCCACTGATGCAGTCAGCTAGCAGCCTCATCACATGCACACGTGATTAGACATAGGTGCACTCAGTACCAAGAGTGCATTTTATGGTCCAGCATACACTCCATTGATTCATCATCACTGCATGCGTTCAGCCAGTGTATCTCACACTATCTGTGTAAATCTAAAACTGGTACTGGCAATGTTAGTAGAGGAGGCAGTGATCACATTTAAAATCAGGCCACTTACAAGTTTAATTTTCAACATCTCATGTTTTTATTTGTCCCATTACAGCTTCAAATGTTGGTCATAAAAAAAATTTAAGCTACTAAAGTTTAAAGAATAAAATGAAAATTTTGTGATAAGAACGTACATTAAAAACTCAGTAGTTTGCATGAGTAAGAACTCCTTGAGATACACAGATTCCCCCCACATTTGTATTTAAAATAATTGGTGAGGCATTGAGATACAGAATTATAAGAAAGCATTACTGAATATGTGTGTTCTAAAGTCAATATTATAAACAAAATATGGAGCTAGAAATATTTGGGATCACAGTAATAGCTTTTCACAAATATACTTTTCGAGTTGAATGTACGTTATCCTATATGTAAAAAAGCAAATTCTTAATTTTAACGGAGCTCTCGATTGACCTTTTCAGCATACTTTTATAGCATGTATATTGAAATAGAATATATTTTAGCAAAAGGTTGCCATAAAACTCTTGACTTGGCTCATTTTGGTATTTGCACTGTGAAGAGGGCTTAAATTCCAATGTAGCAATATGCTGGTAGAAAAATGAAAAACTGGGAAGTTCTTTCACAGTAATGCCTAATTGTTCCAAATTTGCTATATTTGGAGGTGCTCTACTGGTACTTCCTGCTTGACTCTCTGACCTGTGGGATGCACATTCTTCCTCAACGCTTTTTCCTTTTGGTGGTGACGTATGTTCACTATCTGAGAGTAAAAGACCATACACGCCCCTCTTTTTAAAATTAATAGTATCTCTTCCTTTTCACTTTGGTTTGAACAAAGATAGTGTCACCTTGTTCCATGAAAAAGAAAAAGCATAAACAGTGTATATTTAGGGTATATGGGTGATAGCTTATGATATGTGTCAATCAGTTCTCTGAATCTTTTACTGAAACTGAGATAGGAAAATAAAACTGAAACAAATCATATTCGACTTTGTTGTGCCATTTTCTCATTGGAGAAGAAATATGCAACCAGTATTTACAGAATAATGACAGATATATGTGAGTATTGTATCGTGTCTATTCCATCACCAGCACCTACAGTGACATCTTCAGGGCTGGGATAAAATAAGTTCTGGTGATTACCAAACATCTGTATTTGTTGAGAGGCAATGTCCTCTTAATACAAAGAGTACTGAACTTTTATGGTATTAGCACAGTTTGTAATTACACGTGTATTTTTGTGAATGTCTGAATAATGTGTGTCCCTTACTAGAGCTTTAAGCCAAACAGAGGCCAGATGAAGTCGGTTTGGGTTGGCCACTGCATACCCAGTGTCTGGCATGATGCCTGCTCTCTGTAGGCTCTCCAGCTTCTGAAATGCACAAGCTTGGAGCTTGGTCTAAAGACCCAGCTATACACATTCCCTCTTGTCTCTAGGACACCTCCTATCCCCTTCCCCAGACCTTTTATTTTGCAGAGTTCTAAGGTGGGCCTCATTATTCCTAGCTAATAGGGTTGTTTTAAGGATTCAGTGAAAACTCATATTGTCCAGCATTGAATAGCTGATTAGCAATTCTTAGTTTCCTTCCCTCCTTCCTGTCTGCTCCTCTTCCATTGCCTGTCTGCAGTGGGAAACGACAGGTTATAGGACTGAGCGGAAAAGTAACCACCGCTTTGGCCACGTCTGCTTCAGCTGGTGGGTAACGGAAGTGTTCCATGACTGATAGAAAAACCATTGATCCACTTCAGCAAACCCGAAATGACTACCTGACCCAGCACTATGCTTTGTTCTCACATGACGAAAAACCTTAGAACTAGTAGTTTTCTGCCTAGTCACAGAAACAGACAGGTACAGAAGTGAATGTCATTTGAAGTGGATATTGATCAGAGTGATGACAGATATATAAACCAGGTGTGTGGGAACACAGGTGACCACCATCTGACCTCCATAAGACCTGTCTTTCCTGACCATAGTCTATAGCCAGATCTTTCTGCCCCCCTCTTGAAGCTTATAAAGTTTAAAATTCACTCCTTGAAGAGGGGCTGTGGAGATTTGGGAATCTTTAGTAGCTGCAAAGAAAAATCAGGTCTAGATAATTTAGCCAAAATCAGAAGCCATTCCTACCTTAATCTCATCGTTTTCCTGTAGAGAAACGGAGAACCTTCTTAAATCATCAGATACGCATCAGTCATCATTTAGTAAAAGTTGGTGAGCATTTCCTGATGATGGCAAAGTGAGTTTCCAGAAGGAATGGAGAGAATCCAGCCTGTTCTCTACTGTGTACAAAAGATAAGGCTGGTGAAGCAAGAGCCTTGTCACTCAAGAGAGCCGAAGAATTATTGAGGGAGAGTGCACCTTAAGGATCGCATTGTCCTCTAGTGAAAGTGAAATTTAAAACTGCTGTCTCTCAACTTGTAACATGAACAGGGTATAGGACTTGGAGTTTAACTCTCAGACTTTCTGCTGTGCATCTGACTTGAGTTTAATGTGTCCAGATGATTTTCTTTTTTCTTTTCTTTTTCTTTCTTTTCTTTCTTTCTTGAGACAGGGTCTTGCTCTGTTGCCCCAGGCTGGTGTGCAGTGGCGTGATGACTGCTCATTGCAGTCTCAACCTCCCAGGCTCAAGCGATCATCATCTTTTAGCCTCCTGAGTAGCTGGGAGGAACTACAGGCACATGCCACCATGCTTGGCTAATTTTCTTTTTTTTTCGGTAGAGATGGGGTTTCACCATATTGCCCAGGCTGGTCTCCAATTTTTGACCTCAAAAGAGCCGCCTGCCTCTGCCTCCCAAAGTACTGGGATTACAAGCATGAGCCGCTGCACCTGGTCTGGGTGATTTTCTGTTCAACAATTCAAGCTTCAGATGAGGCCTAGGCAAGTGATGAGTTTGGGGAATATTCTTGAGTAATCTATTAAATATATTTTTCATTGGTTTTAGTAAATCTCAAAAAGTTGTGAAGAAAAGGAAACAGAGGCTTCAGCTAGTCCAGGTAAGACATACACATTTGAATTGTCAGAAATTCCATTTGTTTTTTCCCCCAACAGTTTTACTGAGATATAATTTACATACCATAACATTGTGCCGCCACCACCAAATCCAGTTTGAGAGCACTTTCATGATCTTCCAAAAAGTTTCCTGGTGCCCATTTGCAGTTAATCCTCACTCCACATCTCAGCCTTTGGCAACCACTGATCTGCTTTCTGTCTGTGTGATATTTCACATAAATTGAATTATATAGTATGCTTTGCACCTGGCATGTTTTTGCATGTATTAGCACTTCTCTCCTTTTATTAATATGTTTTGCTAACTCATCAGTTGATGAACATTTGGGTTATTTCCAGCTTGGGCCCTTATGAAGAATGTTACTATGAATGTGAGTAGACATACATGTCTTTGTGCAGAAATTTCTTCATTTCTCTCGGGTAGATGGCTAGGGGAGGAATTGCTTAATTGTATGGTAAGTTTCTTTTAAAGAAATAACTTGCCGGACACAGTGGCTCAGGCCTGCTGGGAGGCCTAGGCAGGTGGATCACCTGGGGTCAGGAGTTCAAGACCAGCCTGGCTAACATGGAGAGATCCCGTCTCTACTAAAAATACAAAAATCATCTGGGCATGGTGGCGTGCTCCTGTAATCCCGGCTGTTTGGGAGGCTGAGGCAGAAGAATCGCTTGGGAGGCAGAAGTTGCAGTGAGCCAAGATTGTGCCATTTCACCCCAGCCTGGGTGACAGAGCAAGACTCTGGCTCAAAAAAGAAAAAGAAAACAAACTGTTTTCTAAAGTAGCTGTACAATCTTACATTCTTACTTGTGATCTGCAATGGTTGTAGTTTATCTGCATCTTTACCCAAACCTGCCATCACCTGTCTTTTAAATTATAGACATTCTAGCTGATGCATAAAGGTATTTCATTGTGATTTTCATTTGCATTTCTCTAATGGCTAGTGGTGGTGTGTCTTTTCATGTGCTTTATTTCCCTTCTATATATCTTATTTGACAAAAATATTCGTATCTTTTTGCCCATTTTTTATTTTTTAAAATTTTTATTATTTATTTATTTATTTTTTGAGACGGAGTCTCGCTCTGTCACCCAGGCTGGAGTGCAGTGGTACAACTTCTGCCTCCCAGGCTCAAGAGATCCTCTTCAGCCTCCTGAGTAGCTGGGATTACAGGTGCCCACCACCATGCCCATTTAATTTTCGTATTTTTTGTAGAGATGGGATTTGCCATGTTGGCCAGGGTGGTCTCAAACTCCTGGGCTCAAGTGATCCACCTGCTTTGACCTCCCAAACTGCTGGGATTATAGGCATGAGCCACTGCATCCATCCTCTTTTGCCCATTTTTAAATGGCATTATTTTCCTTATTATTGAGTTTAAGAAATCTTTATATATTCTGGATAGAAGTACCTTATCAGATATATAATTTGCAAATATTTTCTCTCAGGCTTTGGCTTGTCTTTTATTTTCTTAACGGTGTCTTTTGAAGTTTAACATCTTTTAAATTTAATGATGTCCAATTAGTCATCTTTGCCTCTTGAGGCTCCTGTGTTCAGGGGCAGCCAGTAGTGGAAGTGTTGCCCAGACCCTCTCCAGGTACCCTCTGCACCCGTGTGCAGCCTCATCTAGGAAAGCGCTTGGCCCAACCACACAATTCCCAGCTTGTGGTACCATTAGCCCTCCCTTCTCATCCTCTGAGATTGTCACTTCCACTGACTTCTCTGGGTATGGGTATTGTCCACTGTTGCAAATTGAGCAAGTCCCACTGGACTGTCGGAGTCCTCAGAGTCTCTCCTGCCCTGACTAAAGCTGTAACCCAGCTGAGCTGGTGGGGGCATGCATGCAGCCCTCGGGAAGGATTCCACAACCACCCACTGTGCCCCAGTTTTTCAAGCATAAACGTTTTTCGTAGTGTATACCTTTGTTCAATTTCCAGAGTGTGGAAATATAAATTTTCTCCAGCTTTTAATAGATGCTTTTTTGGGGAGAGGATTTGCCACCCCCTAACTCAGACATAGCTGGAAGTCCCACCTTGACAATTCTACTTGATAGCAGGAAGAGAAGGAACAGATCTTAATCCAAATCCAAGTATGACGACACTACTTCTCCTCTGCTGAGGAGTAGTGACCAAGTGTATACACTAATATTAAGAGTGACGCCAAAATAACTTATGGAAGTTCTAAGTGAGAGCCCTCACTGAAGGAAGGGGCAGTTTGCTCCCGTGCCCCATTGAGCTCTGGCCCCCAGGAAGGCAAAGGCAAGAAGAGGCCTTCCTACTAATCATGGCCCCCCTCCATCTTTTTCACAATTGTCGGCACCCTGAAGGGCGACTCAGTTCTAAGATCCAGCTTTCAAGAATTTCAAGAGGGTACCTTTTCTTTGAATGTAATATATACTGCTAAGAGTATTTATTACCACCACCCCCAGAACCTCAGTCATTCACTAAATGATGGATATCATATATCCACTAAACATGGATATAGAACCATATTTGAATGAGACATCATTTTAGTATTTGAAATAACTAAATATGTCCAATTCCCTCAAAAGAATGTGCAGATTAGCTGGAGAAACATTGTAGAAGGTGCTGTGATTGTGGTCACCTCAGGAAGGGTTGGAGCTCTGACTTGGGCTGGAGCTAGCAGGGAGTGAGGCAAGGTGGTAGGAAAAGCCCAGGCGGGATCAGAGACCCCAGCGCATTCTGAGGCTGCTAGAAGAGGCTGTCACTGTCACTACTTTCTCACCAGATACCTTCTTGAAAGTATATTGGAAAGTGACCTGTCCCCAAATCAGAGTGACTTACATTTTAATGAGCACTTGAAGGGGGCACAGAGGGAGACAGGTTGGTTGGTGCTGTTCCCTGAGAATAAAAACTGATTGGATACATTGCTAGTGTGAATGTAAAATGGTGCAATAGCTTTGGAAAACAGTCTGAGAGCTGCTCGAAATGTAAAACATGGAGTTACCATATGAGCCAACAATTCCATT